ACTGGGAAAAACACCATTAGAATTTAAAGTGATCTGGATAATTTGAGAAATGGCCTAAATGAACACGATGAATTTTTAGAGAGACACGTGCGAAATACTGCACATAGGAACAATTATCTGCATGGATGCAGAAATGAGAAAAATGGCTTGAGGAACAGTTATGTGCAAAAACATTGGGATAAACGTTATATTAGAATAAAACTGAACAGAAAGATACTCTGCAACAATTTTGAAAAAATGGTCTTATGTAAAGGAGCCTGTACATGCAGTCTCGCCACAAATACTTTCTCCCTCCAGAAAGGCTTACCGAGTTTCCCCTTTGCAGCTCGCCCTCCTCATTCCAAGTTGACTCTGCTTGTATCTAAGGGGCTGCGCATATCAAAGAGCGATGGTAACTGCTGAGTACATCGTATTTTGGTTGGCAGAGGGTTAGTAAGAGTTTTCCTGGATATAATATAGCAAGTCATGGGCACTGCCCTTTGATTACCTCAAGTTTTAGACATTCCCTGGAAAATGTCCAATGAGCTCAGAGAAAAGAAGAAGGTGAGGAAGGATTGAAAGTGTTACAAGACTAAGACTACAGAGGGTATGCAGTAGTGTAGCGCAGTCTACAAGGCTGTTGCTCAAGAGAAGGAAATAATCTGTTCTTCACATCTGCAGTAGCTGGGAAAAGGAAATAATGGGCTTCTGTTGCTGTCAAGTAAAGTCAAGTCAGGTACTGGGAAAAAAATACTGTTTAATAAGTACTGTTTAATAAAAACAAAACCAACCAAACAAAAAAGAAACAAACAAACAGAAGAAACCCAACTAGTGAAACACTGGAAATACTTGAGGAAGGTGAGATCTCCAACACTGAGAACAGTCTAGAAACACATCTGCAAGTACTATCAAACATAGCTGATGCAGAAGTCTTCTACGGGAGACTTTGGAGTGCATAAACTAAGTATTTTTGTACACATGCTATTTTTTTGATAAAGATAGGTGAAATATTTTGAGGTCTGGAAGGAAATAGTTTTCTGAATTATTCCTCCCCTTTTCTGCAGCAAAATTATACTGCACAGAGCAAAGAGATAATATATCACTGGCTCAGAACAGAAACATGGGTGCCTTAGGAACAATTTCTATTTTGTTTGTTTGTTTGTTTAATTGTTGTGGGTTTTTTAAATTATCATTTATTTTAAATGCACAAAAGAATATAATAACTGCCTTCTTTGGGTCAACCTACCTTGGTAATTGATTTGGCTTCAGCTGAGCAGTTCAAAAATCACTTGGGACCTTAGCTAGCATATCTCAATGCTGGTGATGTTAGTGCAAAAACAATTTCTAAGCAGCCTTCCACATAGGCTATGTATTCATACCTAGGCTATGTGTTCATGCACAGGTTTGGTCCATGTTGATAGTGTGAATATATTTTATCACACAGACTTAAGCGTCCATATTACAAAGTAACAGAATTGAGTCATTGAACCATTTTGGAGAATTTTCTTTGGGTGAATATGCATTAAGTAGGTAAACTTTAGCTTCTACCTGCACCTTAAAACAACCATTATCAGGCCACTTCTGGTCTGGAACTTGAATAAATACCTTTCTGCTGTCACTGAGACAGTTGTCACTTATAACATACTGTGTTTATTAGTGCAGGTACAGTACCTTCATTTCAGTTTGAGTTGTGTAAATCCTCATGACTTGACAATAACTTATTAGCTTATTTTTAACCTTTTAAAGGAAGATATTTTTGTATATGATTAAAAGTTCATAGCTAAATATTATATTTTGCATAAAGCATTAAATAAAAGACATTAGTATAAGTTTTCAGGATACCAGAAGCGGGTAGTTACACAACAAGAAACCTGCTTTTCAATGAAAAAAATGTTTCTCAATTTCATCAAAGACTCAGTAATATTCAAGAATGTTTATAGTATGTGAAGTTTAATCTACTATATATTTTTTTCTTTCTCAGTTAATTTTATGAGCTCCTCAAGACCACGTCTAAAAAATATTCCATCTAGAAGAACTTTCCTTAAAGTCATTCAGATTTGCTTCTTTCCTAGTTCCCTTGCTGGTATTGATAACTGTGGTTTGTATTCTGGCCAGGTTTCTACAGGAGTTTAGGTGATTTTTGTTTATTCAAAATTTAATGAGAATGCTAATGCCATTGCCAGTTTTAATTGTTTAGCTTGAAAGGGCAAACATGATTTACATTAATTTTACCACCTTCATAACTAATTAGAATCTCAGCCTTGTGGTTATGGTTTTAGACATCTTTGCACTTTAATGTGACAGCAAAATACTGTTAGTTACTCTCTTGTGTGAAATTCTGTTCTAATTTATTGACACTATAAGGGCATCTTACAATCTGGACACTAATCAACCTTAACTACAGATTTCATACTAATCATGGCTCAAAGCTCTTATTCGATGGTTTGCTGAAAAATATTGTGTCCGTGAGACTTTTTTCTCTTCCTCCTTCATACAGTTCTGTTAGGCCAATTATTACTGGAGCATTGGTCAAGTATTTTAAAGATTAAAATCTTATTTAATAAAGATCAGAAGAAGATGTGTAAAGAAGATCTCTTTTGTGGATATAAATGTATGTAGGTGATGCAAGATGGCTTCAGTAGCAGTTAAGTTTTTGGTTATGAAATGCACCCACTTCTCACAGCATAAATGTAAATCCTAGCAGAAAATAAAATTACCCTACGTGATCTTAGCTTTGAACACTTAACCCACTGACAACCTGCTACTATGTCTTGTCGGGAAAAAAAAAAAATTAAAAAAAGAAAAGAACTTGCATCATAGGCGTAAATTTAGCGCTTAGTATTAGAATGATAACAGTTCAGGGGTCTTGTAGTTAGAGATCATAGTATCATAGAATGGTTAGGGTTTGAAAGTACCTGAAGGTCATCTAGTTCCACTCCCCCTGCCATGGGCAGGGATGCCTCATCCTGCACCATGTATCTGAAGGCTCTTTCCAACCTGCCCTTGAACTCTGCCAAGGATTCACAACTTTCTTGGGCAACCCATTCCAGTGCTTCACCACCCTCACAGTAAATAAATAGTGATGTGTAATAGGGTAAGGGAGAAGGGTTAGAGGCTTAAATCAAGATGGAAAAAAAAAAAAATCCAGAAGAACTGAAAGGAAGCCAGAAATAATGTTGTATATGAGTTATACTATAGCTGATGGTGTGAAAAGGGAGAGCCCATGTGTCTGAGCCCATTTTCACTTTCTGTGACACAGTCTGGGATTTCAACATCTATGACTCATTCTTCATCCATTGACTTTTTTTCACCAGCTATCATCTTCAATGGCCAATTCCTCTAGAGAGGATTACAAACATGGAGTAAATATAACTTTCCCTAGGTGTTACAAGTTTATGACTATTGCTACCATTTGCTAAGCAGTAGATTGTTCCCATTACTAATATTTATTTCCTTATTATTCCTTAATATTTCTCTTCAGACATTCTCATTACATTCTGTCTTAAATTATATGTTCATACTGATCTCACATTTCTGTGGTTTATTTCATCAGTGCTTATATGGAGCAGCATAAAAATCTGAATGAAGGAGAATATGAGAAAAAGTACAACAATTTGTGTGCTGTGCAAACAGATCTCATTTTTTTCAAATATACTATCCTACTGAACTTACAGAAAAGCTCTCAGTGACTGGATTCAAATGTGTGTAAAAATTAAGTAAAGCTAATCATTCTATAGACTTCATGTGACTAATTTAAAATGAAAGTACAATGTGACGATCATTCATAATACTTATCTTCAGAGGAATTATAGTTCATGCTGTCATTAAAAGTTGTTTTTTTTTTTTTACTTAGGATGCTTGATTTGATATCTATGTATGTCTGGTTATCAATATACGACTTCATGAAGGGAATAATTTGGTTAAGCTGTTTCAAGTTTTGATGAATGGTTGGCATCTGGATAACTTTTTTCTGTTCTTAAAGACACTACTTGTATCTATCACTAACTGAAGTGGGCATATTCAAACACACTACAGAAAATTTCTTTTGACAAGGACATGCAGAACAAATTAAAGGAAAATAAAATCAGGAACATCCTGAAATATAACTTTAAGTACCCTTCATTAAATTCAATTTTAACCATACTTCTAAATACAAATTAACAAAAAATTATGCAGTTACATATTGACTGTACAGATTATAGATTTCTTTTTCTGTATCAATGGATGATGACTTTGGCAGCAGCTCAATGACTGTTCTCTTTTGTCTGATGAAACTTTAGCCAGTGCTGCAGAAAAGATTTGGACAAAACCAAAAAATATTCTGGTTTAATGGGGTTATGCCTATCTAATGAAAGATGCTTCAGTGTTAATACAAATAGTTTCACATTCAGCTACTTTGTTTGGTGATTAGAATCTATAGCTCTAATTGGCTGTGCAGGACCATTATCCTGCATTAATATTAGCCTGCCCATTCCTCTGGTATTCAGTTTAAATGAAAACTACAAGAGCTGCTGTTTCTTATCATCTTGCCTACAGAGTCTAAATTTAAATGGGTCATATTATTTAATGAGTTGCACAAAGAGGTCAACAGTCCTCTTTCTGAGAGTTCAGTGTATTTTCTACAAAGCTTTGAATAATTTGTTTTATCATTTCAGCTTGGTTATTGGATATGCCAGAGATTTATTTTGAGTCTAATTTTTAAGCAGCAGATGTACTCTAGATTAAAATGTGGAGAAAAATAGAAAAGTCTAGTAATCTAAAGGACTAACGAAAGGATGCATTTAATTTTTCCTTTTTTTCTTTTTTTTCTCTCCAACTGATCAATATACTGTTTACAACTGTATACAAAATGTGGCATTCTGCTTCCCAGTCACTGAGACAAAAGCAGGAGGTTTGTTTCTCCCATTTCGTCTTGAATTTAAATGGAAACTTTATGCTAATATAGACACAGTTTTGCGTGCAGTCTTTTCAGTTAAACAGGAAAAAAGTAAATGCTGCTGGAAAGTATAGGGTTTTTAAAAAAAAAAAAAAATCTCACCAACATTTTATACTCAAAGTTTTGTAAATAAAAAGATTTTATACCACTGCAAGCCCAGTAATTTATTGTTAGTAGAATTAATACCTTACCTTTGATTACGTCTAATAAAAAAATTCTTAGTTTGGTCACAGTGACATTAACACTTTGAGTTCAAATTATGTAAAGTTAAAAAGAGACACTTTCTAATGAATCTTCTTTTCTTTGGTGTCATGCTCATCCCACTCAGGTGAAAGACTTCAGTCTGTGGGTGGTTACTCAGCATCCTATGTCCTTTGCTGAAAGGATTCTCCTCACTGTAGGACGTGTCTGGGGGCACTTTTATGTTGCCTACAGAGTGTACTTTGGGCTGCCTTCCTTGGTGTGCAAGTTAACACTATTTCTAAATTTACTATCAGAGATGTGTTTTACATGTGAAATCAGTGTTACAAAGCTCCCAAGGGTGCCTTCCTTTGACCTGGTGAATTATTGATTGCCCTGCAGCCACCAGTATCACTCCTTGTCTGCAAACTCAGGGCCCCTGCTGACATTTCATGCTGGTTTTCTTCAACACTGCATTTTATCAACATCATAGATAGCTGATTCTTCACAGAATATCTTCTGACATCAAATAAGCCAGATATTACACAACTCTACAAATCTAAATGAAAACTAGGAAAAATAACAATATTAAAAATTAAATAGTGAACTGGACAGATAAGTGTTGTTACAGCCCAAAATGAATCTCCCAACAGGCACAGAGAAGCCTGGAAAAGCCTGACAAGTCCTCATGCTTTTGTGTTACCCTAATACAAAGCCTATGTCCTGTTACAAGCAAGCAACGGCCACCCTCCCCCATCTCTAACCCCCTAAACCTAAACAAAACAACAAACCAAACCAAACAACAACATCCCACCTCCAGCACTACCCCCCAAGACTTACTGCACTATGAAGCTAGAGCTGAAACTCTTTGGGGGTTTTTTAAAGTCATCTTCTACTTTGGTGCATGGTGAATGGGAAATTTTCCTATTACTGAAAATAGAAGAAATTGAAGATTTTTATTATTAATCAAGAAGCTTGTTCTTCAGTGCCCAAGAGAAGAACTTCAGTTATGAGACTAGATTTCCCTTATGTTTTAGCCATTGATTTCATAAGTAAATTAATTTTCCTAAAATTAAGAGTCTACAACCTACACTTAGGTGACACTATTACCTCTCCTGTAGTGGAGTGAAAACAGTATTTCTAAAGAAAACAAATTATTCTCTCTTGTGAGGAGACTTCTATGATAGAATGGAGTTATTTCCCTGAATTGTATTCTATTTCCCTGCTGTTTTCTTAGTAAAAATCCTCAGCTAAATTTTTTAGTGCTTCTATTAGTGAAGGTAACCCCAGATTGGTCCTCTGACTATATCATCTGTTAGTGCCTGGCAGCTCTTGAGCCGTAGCTCATTATAAGAAAGAAGTACAAGCAGAAGTAGTTTGGTATGGGGTATGTAATTTCAAAGAGCTCATATTTGGGTTTTATGGTGTGAAAACTAACCTTTCATTGCAAATAATGACTCTATATTTTTCTCGCAAAGACAAGCTCAAAAGAGTAAATGAGTATAAAACAATATTTGGACTTTAAGTGATTAATGCACAAGAGCTGGAGACTCAGTGCAGAGGTAAAGCACGTGCATGTTTACTTACAGACAAAGTATCAATTACCTTTGACAGCTGTGCTTGAAACACCACCTTGCTAAACTCACTGCAGGCACTCAAGGCAGCCATGTACATTGAGGTGTGGCACTAGTAGACTGATGTTATTTGTTGAAGGAACGAAAAAAATTATTCGTTCAGAGGATAACAGAAGGTATGTGCTGTTCACTGAACAGGATTCACGGTACAGTATTCACTAATTAAGAGCAGCTTTTGCCTAGGAAAAGCTTGTTACTGGGGAACAATGGCAGTGTGGCACTGGATGGGAATACTGCAGGGCTCGCCAAGTGCATTTCAGTGAATATTTTTTCTAGCATTACATTTCTGTTGTCTGTGATAAAGTATGCAAAATGATGCAGCTTGAAGGAAACTGACGAGCAGAGACATGAACTGAATTACAAAGCAAATTTCAGGAAATAACTTATTTCAAACACAGGCAGAATTGGGTAATCAGTCACAAATGACAAAGGCAGTATTGCTTTTCAGAGTATGTACTGCATTGCAGCATATAATTAACACCCAGCATTACAGAGCTCTGGAGGCTATTTTATTGCAGTCAAAGGAAAAATTGGTGAGTTCAGACTTGGTTTGTTAATCTGAATTCTGATAGCATTGCTTCAGTGGAATCCCTAGTCTTTTTGTGTTAGCTATTCCTCTTTGCAAGCTTACATGAAATCATGAAGTAGTAATCCCTTCCAGAGGTGTTACTGGAAGCTTCTACCAGGTCTTTTGAGATCTTCTCTTAGAATTTGTTATATACATGAGAAATGTAATCTTTCTTTAAAATTATCCTAGGCCATTTAAAAAAGATAATAATAATGAAAAATGCTTCATTTTCTGTCCATTTGTAGTCTGATATTTGTTCAAGTATTTACCAGCTTGATTCCTGGTTCAGTGATGAGATGTGCCCTGGAAGGCTTCTCCTTTACAACATACAAATTTTCATGAGGTGTTTTCCATCCTAATTATTACAGAGGTTCACAACTTCAGAGAAAACAGAATATCTGACTCTAACTCAAGTTGCAGCCTAGAGGATAAGGGGTGAATTACATGTCACGTGAAGTTGAATTTGAAGTCATGGTGGTCTAAGAGGTCAAAGGATTCAAATCATTCATGCTATTCTTGTTTATGTATGGCAATATTCGTAACTCTCAAAAATATCTACAACCTAAAGTACGGCAAGGTGTGATTTCTTTCTTCAAGCAAAAGTTTAGGTTAGATGTCTGCAATGAGGTTTACTATGAAGTTTCATGTCACTACTAAATTGCATTAATGCAACATAATTTTATTCTGAATTGCAGGGAACTTTCAACAGTACCTTCAAAACAGTTTTATCTGTCAGAAAAGCTGTTGAACATTGTCAAATAAAAGTAATCATACCTAATAAGTACTTCTAGTCATTATCAATCTACGTATTGCCTTACGGCCATTTGGAGACACAGTGTTGTAACTCATTTTACACATTTGAATGCTATATTCCAATTTCTTATTCTGCCATTCTTTGAATAAAACTGCATTGTAGTTGCTATTTCTTCCTTCTGCTCAGTTGCTTATTTTATTTAAGGAACAAATTTTCCCTTTTTTTTTTTCAGTTGGACCCCAGCACTGGACTAAACCAGATGGATTTTTCCACAGGACACTATGCAGATCCCATCCATGGATAAATTACTCTTTATCTCATAGTTTCAGTTACTGCAATTCCCTCCTTTCCTGCAATAGAGAGCACAGCATGGTCTGAATTTGCTTTTTTTTACCCTGCCTGCCTGATTTTTACAGAGCAGGTAAGCCAGGTTATACATGTGGGCTTGTCAGATCTGAGCTTTATTTTAATTCAGGGTTGATTTTTGGCAAATCTTTAGAAAGCAAAATGTTTAGATTGTGGATATTTTGCAAAACTCCTTATTTGCAGTGTATCTTTTTAAGAATAACTGAGTTTCTAGGCAAACTACAAAGTCTGGAACAAGATTTTCTGGAGTAAGTACCTCTTGGGAAACCTTTATTTTTAAGCAAATAACAAGCTACTTAATGTTTCCTAAAGCTTCAAGGTTTCTCAGGCTGCATATCAACAAACTTTGAAGCTCAAATTTCTGTGTGCACACACATAAAATCTGCATGTTTAGATGTAAAATTGGTCATAAGGAAAATATTTTCCCTCACAGTTCTCATTCAGTGTGGAAAAATAATTAAAATATAATACATATAGTGCTATGAGTAGAAGTAATGTTTAATCAGGTTAATAGAAAGCAAATATTTAATTACTTTCCAAGTCCCAGGTATCAAAAGGTCTCTATCTCATTTCACCCTATATTGTACATAAAGATATATACAAATACCCAAAATATGCAATAAGAAAAGCAAATAATGGCAAGAAGTTTTGGTCTTGTGTTGAAGAACACATTTTTATTTCTATTTAAAATTTGCCAATAATTTCCTAGCGCAGAAGTTAATAAGTTCTGCAAAGACATTAGTTTTGATCAAAAAGAACAATGGCCCTACTGTGAAAAGTTTGTTCATGAAAATCAAGAGAAAAATTGTTCCAATGGTTTTCTTAATTAAAAGTTCTGTGCAGTCTTTTCTGGACAGACTGAAGTGTCGCAGTCTGTCAGATTTTGAGCAGAGCATAGTGTTGTTGAGACTGTATGATATTCCAATTGAAATAATTTTATCAAATATTAATAATCCATATATATTATAAATATTGTATTTATAATATAAATTATTTAGGACATCCAGATACAGTTTTGCCAGATTTTTTAAATACTAACAATATACAAATAAGTATTAAATTTGAATGTTTCACTGCTTTAGTGCTTCAGGGTTTAATGTGGGGACAATTTTTAAACAGCTTCATGGAAAAATGTCTCCAAGTCATTAAATTTATTAGTGCACTACTGTGAGTTGAAAAATATTTTGTTCAAAAGCTGCTATTGTGAATGTTCTAATTATCTCCATTGTGTGAAGACATTGTGCTAAAGGCTTTTGGTGTATAATGGGGTTGAGAGAAAAGTAACAGAGAGACTGAAGGAAGAGAAGTTTTAATCAGAACCTGTTCTGGGCTAAACCTGGTAGGCAGCTGAGCGCTACACAGCTGCTCACTCAGTTGTCGCCAGAGTGGGATGAAGAAGAGAATCAGAAGGTTAAGAACAAGAAAATTTTTTAGTTGAGATAAAGATAATCCAACAAGAAAAGCAAAGCTGTACATGCAGGCAAAACAAAATAAAGAATTCATTCAATACTTGCTATCAGCAGGCAAATGTCCAGCCACTTTGCTGGAAAACATATTAGTCACATGTAATGGTGTCCTGGGTTCAGCAGTAGCAGTCATGTTTTTCCTTTGTGTTAACTGGTGCAGTGCTGTGTTTTGACTTCCAGCCTGGGAACAGTGTTGGTGAAGCCGATGTTTTCGGTTGTTGCTAAGTGATATTTACCTTGACCAAGGACTTTGTGAGGCTCATGCTCTGCCAGGGAGGAGGGGAAGCCGGGAGGAAGAAGAGACGGGGCGCCTGACCCAGGCTAGCCAGGGAGGTATTCCATACCACAGCACGTCATGCCCGGGGTGGGGGGTAACTGGGAGTTACCTGGAAGGACATGGGCTTCCGGGTGGGACTCGTTTCTTGGCCGGTGGTATTGTATTCTCTTCCCTTGTTATTTTCTCTTATCATTGCTGTCGTTGGTAGTAGTGGTGGTGATTTATGTTGTACATTGGTTACTGGACTGTTCTTGTCTCAACCCATGGGAGTTGCACTCATTTGATCCTCCTCCCCATTCCTCTGGGAACGGGGAAGGGGAGAGCCTGGGGCGGGGTGCCTCAATTGCTCTCAGCCCGGCACCACTCACTGGGAGTGAGTGAACAAGTTGCCTGACTGGGTTTAAACCACGACACAGTTTACAACAGCTCCAGTGGAGATGAACCATTTGAAGACAAATATCATAATCATGAATATCCCCCGTTTCTCATTCTTTCCCCCAGGTTTTATTGCCCAGCTCAATATCATATGGTATGGAATATCCCTTTGTTCAGTTGGGGTCAGCTACCCTAACTAGGTCCCATCCCATCTTCTTGTGTATCACCACCATTGGCGAGGCATTGTGAGAAAGTCTTTGCAAACAGCAGTCAACAATAGCTAAAACACCAGTGTGCTATAAATGCTGCTTTGGTCCACAGCACCATACTAGCTGCTGTGAAAAAACTTAAGCATCGTACTCAAAACCAGTACAAAAATTCTGACCTGTGTGATTGATTACTGGATTTGTAGCAGCCTGCATAGCATCCTATTCCACTGAAAAATTAGTCTTACTATAGGACAGATTTTATAGAATAGTTAGGATGGGAAAAGACCTTAACATCACCTAGTGCCAAACCCCTGCCATGGG